AGTTGATTACAAAACTAAACAACTAAACATACTCTTACCATATGAACCAGCAATAGCACTCCTTGGTATTTACCCAAAAGAGGTGAAAACTTATGCCCACACAAAAACCTGCGCAAAGATGCTTATAGGAGCAATTGCCAAAACTTGGAAGCAACCAAGACGTTCTTCATTAGGTGAATGTATAAACTGTGGTACATCCAGACAATGAAATATTATTCACCACTAAAAAGAAATGAACTATCAAGCTATTGAAAGACATGGAGGAAACTTAAATGCATATTGCTAAGTGAAAGAAGCCAATCTGAAAAGGTCACATACTGTGTGATTCCAACTATATGATATTCCAGAAAAGGCACATGGAGACAGTAAAAAGATCAATTGATTCCAGAAGTTAGCAGTGAAAGAAGGATGAATAGTCAGAGCACAGAAGATTTTTAGGGCAGTGAAACAATTCTATAGGATACTATAATGGTGGATTCATGTCATTATACATTTGTCCAAATGCATTAACTGTACAACATGGAGAGTGAACCCTCATGTAAACTATGGACTTTGAGTGATAATGATGTGTCTGTGTAGGTTCATCAACTGTACTAAATGTACCACTCTGATGCTGGAGTTTACAGTAGGAGAGGCCGTGCATGTTGGGGACAGGGGGTGTGTGGAAACTCTCTGTACTTTCTGCTCAATCTTGCTGTGAACCTAAAACTATTCTAAAAAATAAAGTCTATTTAAAAGGGGAAGAAATAGGTAAATTTTGAAAATATCACTCCACTGAAGACTTCTTGCTTCTGCTATTGCTGTCGAAAAGTCAGCTGTCAGTTAACTGGGTTTCTTTGATAGGTAATTAGTATTTTCTTTCTACATCCTTTTAAGATCTCTTTATCTTTGATGTTCTGCACTTTGACTACAAGGTATCTAGTTGTGAATTTTTGTTTGTTTAGCCTTCTTGGAATTTGTTTTCCAAGTCTGTAGATTTGTGTTTTGCACCAATTTGGGAAAATTCTCATCAGCATCTTTAAATATTGTTTCTCTCTCATTCTCACTAATCTTTCTATCTGGAATCCCAATTAGATTATATGACAAATCATTCTTATTCTGTTCTCTGTGTCCCTTGACCTCTCTTCCATACTTTCTATCTCCTTTTTTCAGACTAGCTTTATGGGCAATATTTTTAGATGTACCTTTTATGTAGATCAACTTTAACTATTTAATCTGTCCATGGAGTTTTGTGTGTGGTTATGTATAAGCATTATTGAACTATTATCCATTGATTTTTAAATTTCATTGATTACATTTTAACTTCTGGAAGGACTTTCCTAGTAGTGGTTCTTTTTAAAATTATGAATCGTTACAAATTTTTGGAGTTGACTTTTCCTCCTCACCTGAAGCCAAGGCCAAAAGAGATATGTTCTCTTGCTCTCTCCCTTTGCCAGGAGGCAGATTTTTTTTTTTTTCTAGCCCACCCTTTCATGGAGATTGTAGCCCTTTTGAGGGGCCTGGTTTCTGCAGCAGGGCTTCTGTTCCTACTCCCTACCTCATACACATCAAAGGCGTTTTCTTCTGGTCCCAGTTTACCCATTAAAACCTAAGCCTCTAGCTTCTGGTTTCACTAAACACCATGGCTTAGGATTTCCATGGCTCCAAGGCTAGTTTACTACTCTGATTTCAATTCCCTCTATTTTTTGGCCCCTTACTTTCCTTTAAGTTCTGTTATGCATTTTGTGCTGTCATTTCTAGCTATCCTGTAGCGGAAATGTTTTTCATAATTTTCATAAAAGACTTTCATAATTTAACTTCCTATATTGTCAGAATCAGACATCCTTTCCAATGAAGATTGTCAGATAAAACACAGGATGCTCAATTAAATCTGAATTTCAGATGATCACATACTTTTTTTGTACAAGAATGCTCTATGCTATATTATTCATTGTTTATCTGAAATTCAAGTTTTGCTGGATGTCCTATGTTTTTATTTGCAAAATCTGGCAAACTTACTTCCAATCTCCTCCCCCCTCATTGACTGTGCTCCCAGCCACAGGCCTTTCTGTCCCTCAAAAGTAGCAAACTCACTTCCAGTCTCAGAGCCTTTATGCTTGCTTTTCCCTTACCTGGAACATTCTTATTCCAGATCTTCACAAAGCTGGCTCCACATCATTTAGATCTCAGCTCAATGTTACCCTACTCACTTCACTTTCCCTGCCAATCTTCATCATCATTATAAAGCTTAACACTTTCTGAAATTACATGATCTGTTTACTTGTGTTTTTGTCCTTTCTCCTCTTGGTGGAGTGTAAGGCTCACGGGGGCGAGGGCCTTGTTAGCTGCTGTATCCCCAGCACCTGACACAGAGCCTGGCACTTAGTAGGCACTGAATAAATCTTTGTTGGATGAATAATTGGCACCCCAAAACCTGTTCTGCAAGATTCAAAGTTATGAAGATCAGCTGAAGGTAAAACAGCTGGCCATAACCAAAGAGAACAACAATAAATATTTCAAGAAAAGCCAACACGGATCCTAAACAAAATTGCCTTGAAGAAAGGACTGTCTCTGCGGTGAGCGGCAGATGCAGGAAGATCCCCCAGACCCACCTCCGGTCACAGAGCTTGGGCTGTAGTGAGTAGTGACTGAAACAGGGTGTGGGAGTGCCTGGCTTAATGGGGCCCTGAGTTATTTTCTGCTGTTGGATTGAGGACCTGTGTAGGAGCAATGTTTTTCCTGCAGTTCTGTGGCACTGAGAAATAATGGGGTAGCTGACCCCTCAGACTGACTTCTCTTCCTGCTGATGTAGAAGTCAGGCAGGGCACCCCATCTCACTTGGACCCCCACAATTCCTAGGGTTTAGAGGCAATTCAAGACAAAGGGAAGACCTCAGAGAAGGGGCTAATTTAATACAAACTAGTAAAATTTTAAAAGAGCCAGGCTGGTAATTACATCTTCAATTTCAAAATCTTGGAGGCTGGGGCGCCTGGGTGGCTCAGCCGGTTAGGCTTCTGCCTTCGGCTCAGATCATGATCTCAGGGTCCTGGGATCGAGCCCCACATTGGGCTCCCTGCTTAGTGGGGAGTCTGCTTCTGCCTCTGCCCCTCCCCTCTGCTCATGTTCTCTCTCTGGCTCTCTCTCAAATAAATAAAAATCTTAAAAATAAATAAATGAAAAATCTTGGAGGCTAATAAATGGCATGCTGGAGATCTGGAAGTGTGTCTTGGGAGGAATAAATTACAGATGGTCCCTGACTTACGACAGTTTGACTAAGAATTTTTCGATTTTACAATGATGCCGAAAGCAATACACATTCAGCAGAAACTGTATTTTAAATTTTGAATTTTGATCATTTGCCAGGCTAGTAGTGATATGCAGCAGGATGCCCTCTTGTGATGCTGGTCAGTGGGAGCAAGCTGCAGCTCCCAGTCAGCCACAGGATCATGATGAGGGTAAACAACCCATACACTTACAACCACTCTGTACTCAGACAGCCATTCCGTTTTTCACTTTCAGTACAGTATTCAATAAATTACAGGAGATAATCAACATTCACCACATTCACAAAATAGGCTTTGTGTTAGATGGTTTTGCTCAACTGCAGGCCAATGTCCGTGTTCTGAGCATGTTTAAGGTAGGCTAGGCTAAACTATTATGTTCAGTAGGTTAGTGTATTAAATAATTTACAATATTTTTAACTTATGATATTTTCAAATTACGATGGTTTTATCACGACACACCGCCATTTTAAGTGGAGGAAGATCTGTATAAGCAATTAGGTATTGGTGAATCACAAATTGAGAGAGTGAAAATGCTGAAATAGTTGGAGAGAGAAGTAGGAGGGGACTGAATTTGGCTGGCGCTTGTAGACTAGATCAAGAAGCTTGGCCTTTATTAGGAGGGTACATGGAAGCCACATTGGATTTTAATCAGGGGAATGACTCCAGTCTCTAGGAGTGATCTGTACTTGGAGAGATCTCCCTACTCCTGTGTATTGGAGAGAACAGCACTGCAACTAAGACTGGTCGGAAAGACGATGAAAACCTGAATAACCATAATGATAATTTTAATCACAGTAGATATGAATTAAACCAGACACTAAATCCATTACCTACGTAATCTCGTTTACCCCACAGTTACCCAATCCAGCTGACACTAGTGTTAACATCTCCATTTTACAGGTAAGGTAAACAAGGTTGAGAGGATAAGGAACCTGCTCAAGATTACTCAGTACCCAGATCTGTCCGACTAGATAGAGCGCCTCTCTTCACTCCCTTGGACTAGGCATTGGAAGTGGGAAGGAAAAGGAGAAGACAGATGTGCAAAATAATTAGGAGGCAAAGAATTATTATATTAGCGTTAGATGACAGTGACGATGATGGTAAAGAATGTAAAGGCGATTTCATTCATTGGTTACACATTCGAGACCTTAACGCGAGCTTCCGCATCTGGGAAGAGACCAAGTTGATTAAGGTGCCGCTGAGATATATTCCCTCTACCACGACAGAAAACGTACACAACTGCGGAGAGACAACGCCACGCCCCATCCGCCGCCCCCACTTCACCGCAGTCGCCAGAGCCGCCCAGGCTCCCCGGGCCGCGCCGCCCCGCCCCGCCCCGGGCGCCTTCGCGCCCACGTGGTCCGGCGTCCGCGCGCAGGCTCGCGGCGCCGGCGTTTCCGGGTTGGCGGCAGCGGCGGTCGCGGGGCGCAGGGGCCCCAGCCGGGGCGGCGCAGGAACCCCGGCGGCGGGTTGTGCGGATCCGGGCGCCAAGGCGGGCCCGGCGGCAGTGCGCCCGCCAGGCCGCGGCGTAGGCCGGGCGCCCCGAAAGGTAGGTCCGCCCCGGGCCCGCCAACGGTGGACGCGGGACCTGGGGCCGCGTCGAGCGCTGCCCAGCCATACGCTCCCCTGTCCCGCTCGAGGGGGCCCGGACCGGGAGTGGGGGCCCAGCCATGCGGGCCCCGGTCTCCGGTGGAATCGTCCGCCCGCCATGTCGTGCGCTGCCTGGCGGCCAGCCTGGGCGATCGTGCCACCCCTTCCAAAGCGAGGCCCGATGCGCCATCGGTTATTACTCAATTGCAGCTACCCCCAGATTCATTTCGCTCGTGTACATTTTCTTTGCGCCCTTTTTTACGTTTTCACAGACAAAATAGTTAATGCGTGAAATCGAGATGCTGTAGGTCCCATTCTAGTCTGCGTGCAACTGTGGAAAGTTAGTGCCGGGGAAGGACTTTCGAGATGCTTGATTCCCATTCCTTCATTTTACAGAGGAGAAGGCAGACCCCGAGAAGTAACATGGATGTTGGAAATTCACCCAGCTAGGCCATGGTATAATAAGGGTGAGAATGGCAAACTAAGTTTTTAAGTCGACTTCTGAAAGTGGTCAATGGTCAAATTCAGTTAACAGTATGAAGCAAGTAGTAGGTTCACTTGGGCTAGATTTAACCTGTTAGATGATGCTTCCTCCTTTTTAATCATTATTTTCTAATTTCAGGCTTCATGCTTCTTGGCCTCTAAAGAAAATGGCAGAAACGTCATTGGAGCCTTCTGGGCAGCTCGTTGTACACTCAGACACTCACAGTGACACTGTTCTGGCCAGTTTTGAGGCTCAGTGGAAGAAAGGCTTCCTCTGTGACATTACATTAATCGTAGAGAATGTGCATTTCCGGGCTCACAAAGCCTTACTCGCTGCCAGTAGTGAATACTTCTCAATGATGTTTGCTGAAGAGGGGGAGATCGGCCAGTCCATTTATATGCTGGAAGGCATGGTTGCCGACACATTTGGAATCCTGCTGGAGTTTATCTACACCGGTTGTCTCCAGGCCAGTGAGAAAAGTGCAGAACAAATCCTGGCCACCGCTCAGTTCTTAAAGGTCTATGACCTGGTAAAGGCTTACACGGATTTTCAAAATAATCATAGCTCCCGAAGGCCAACGACTCTGAACACTGCTGGCGCTCCAGTGGTGGTGATTTCTAATAAGAAAAATGGTCCTCCGAAACGGAAGAGGGGAAGACCGAGAAAAGTGAACAGTGTGCAGGAGGGGAAATCACAGCTGGCTGCAGAGGAAGAAATACAGCTGAGAGTAAACAATTCAGTTCAAAATAGACATAACTTTGTAGTGAAAGAGGGAGACAATGGCATACTGAATGAACAGATTCCAGCGAAAGAAATGGAAGAGGCTGAGCCTGCCTGTGATCCACGTAAAGGGGAGGAAACGCCAGCTGAAAAAGATGAGAACTGTGATCCCAAGACCCAGGATGGGCAGGACAGCCAGAGTCGGTACAGCAAGCGCAGGATTCGGAGGTCCGTCAAACTTAAAGATTACAAACTTGTCGGGGATGAAGACGAGCAGAGTTCAGCCAAAAGGGTCTGTGGAAAGAGAAAGCGCTCAGGGGGCCCTGAGGCCTGTTGTAAGGACTGTGGCAAAGTGTTTAAGTACAATCACTTTTTGGCAATCCACCAGAGGAGCCACACGGGTAATTATACTTTCGCAGCTTAGTGGAGCTTGTTTTGGCGGGATGATGATGATAGCTTTCATTGATTGTGCAACTTCCATGTGATGGGCATTATAATAGGGCCTTTACGTACATATTACTGCAGTTAGTTCTTACAACAGGCCTATGAGATAGGGAATGTTATCCCCATTGGACAGATGAAAAGACCAAGTCCTAGAAATAATTTGCCCAGGTCATCCATTTAGTGACAGAGCTGGGATTTGAACCCAGGTAGCCTAATTGCAGAACCCTGTTCTTATTTGTGAGTCGTTGGTTCCAGGCTTGAATGCCCGGGTGTCAAACTCCAGCCAGATTTACTCTGCTTTCTGATTCGTGAACATGTGGTGTGACTGAGGAACTGAATTTTTTATTTTAATTAGTTTAACTGGCACCATATTGGATAGTGCGACCCTAGCCAGAAATCCCTTCCTCCTTTGAGCCCTCCCTTACTTAACTCACTCTGCTTTGGGTCGGGTTGTAGTTGCCAGTTAAATACCCCTCAACCTAATTGTCAACTTAAGTATAGGGACTAGTATTTAAGGCTCCTCTCATCCAGCAGAGCTAGCCCTGTGGTTCTCAACCTGAACACCCAGTAGAATCACCTAGGGAGCTTCTTAAACCACCAGTGACTGGGCACCAGCCCCAGAGCTCCTGATTTAATTGGGGCCTTGGTGTTTTTGAAAGATGGGTTCAGAACCTTGAATTCTGGTTCTTTAAACAGACACTTGGAAAATATTTGTTGAACCGTAATAGAGGATAGTTGAGAGAGTTAAATAGTTCTCTAACATTTGTTAAGAAAACAGCATGTAGGATGTTCCCTTTTGTCCCCAGTATTCTGAAATTTTGCAGTGACTCACTTTAGCATGGGTCTGTTTTTGTCCCATTTCAGTGGCTACCCGTAGATCCATACAGTTTGGAAACTCCCCATCTTTCAGTTCCTTCATGGATGGTATCTCCCATCAGTCTTCTGTGCTCTCTTTTTCTAGAACTCCCTGGAAATTAGATGTTGAACCTCTGGACCCACCCTCTAAAGTCCTTACCTCTTAATTCCCATCACTTTTGGCTCTGCGTTCTGGGAGATTTCCCCTTTATCTTTCTACTCTGTTTTACTTCTAGGAGCCCTTTTTTATTCTCTAAATTTTTTTTTTTTTTTAATTAGTGTGAATCCTCTTTTTGGTTCACAGTGTAGTATCTTCCCTCTGTGAGCACGTTAATAACAGCAGTCGCCTGTTTGTCAGTTTTTAACGTTTTCTTCCCCTTGGGCAGCCCCTGTTTTCCGCGAGTTGCTTTTTTTTCTGATCTGTTTTGGTATCTGTTTCAGCTACTAAAAGACCTTCCTTGAATGGTGGTTTTTAAAAAATCACATTTAATCCTGTGCTGGAATGATTGACTGCTAGCTACTGGCCACCACGTGGGTGTGGAGCGGGCCTGTAGACGGCAGCCTCACTAGGGGTGGTGTGCCTGGACCCCACTCCCCGACACCTGGCATCCCAGCTGCAGCCCCCTTACCCTGGCCCACCACGTTCCCGAAGAAGATGTTCTGCCCTCCCACCCGAGGCTCTGGGCCTGCCTGCCAGTGTCTGAAGCAGGAGCAGGGGAGAAGGCTGGGCAGTCTCATCACCCCCAGTATAAACTTGGACTTGCCGTCCCTGGGGCAGTCCTACTCCACTGTGCCTGGAGACCCTCAGTCCAGAGACTTTGTTTTGCCCTCTTCAGAGAACAGCCCCCATCCTTTGTTGGGGAGTGGGCCTGTCTTCTGGCTCCTTGGGCCTTGTGGGGAGGCCTAAGTGTCTTTGATACAGATGGTCATTTGTCCCCCTAACCCCCACTTTCAGAGATAACAGGTGCCACCCATGGCTGAGCATTGTGGAGGCTCTTAGGTTGTAGCTCAGCACTCCTCGCTGCTGGTGTCAGATTCATGTGTCCTGGCTTGCCAGATTTTATTGCTGATGTTTCCTCTCCTGTGCTGGGCCTTTGGGATATGTGCCTATTAAGAGAAATCCCTTGATTGTCGTTTTAATTTAGGAGGAAACCAAGATGTGCATGTTCTTGCTCACACCACGCTTCTGGGGCTCTCATTCCAGGGGAGCGACCTTTCAAATGTAATGAGTGCGGGAAAGGCTTTGCCCAGAAGCACTCCCTGCAGGTCCACGCCCGGATGCACACAGGCGAGCGGCCCTACACCTGCACCGTGTGCAGCAAGGCTCTCACCACCAAGCACTCACTGCTGGAGCACATGAGCCTGCATTCAGGTAGCTGGACTTGCACCCGAAGGCCACCTGCCACCGGGTTCCTGGGCTGGGCGTTCCCGTGGTCAGAATGGTCTTTTCTCAGCCTGGTGTCATCTCCCACGTGGTGTCTGCCTCTGCCAGACCATAGTGTGGAGTCGTGCACAGTGTTCTGTTTTAAACTAGGGCTTATGAACCAGCTACCGGGAGCTCAGCGTACACACATGTTTTGTTTAACTCCCAGAGCTTAGAGTTATTTTACTTTGGTGACTTCGGGGGAAACTTGAATTCTCCAGTTCTGCTCCAGTCCGCACCACTCCCTACTGCCTTACATACCTTTGCACATTTATGGTACTGTGCTTTGACTGAGGGCATTTGGGTATGGAGGCGAGTCACTTGTATGGAAAATGGGGACCTGGGCCCACCGTTTTATTGTTCTTTGTTTTTGCATGTTTTAGTGTCTTGTTTTTTATTTGGCAGGACAGAAGTCTTTCACCTGTGATCAGTGTGGAAAATATTTCAGCCAGAAAAGACAACTAAAGAGCCATTACCGAGTTCATACAGGTAACAATAAAGAGAAAATTTGGATTGGTGGGGGAGAAACTTAAATACAAATTACTTCTGAAACAGTAGGGTCATACTGTGGAAGATAATTAGTATTTAGGGAAAGAATCTTAAAAAGGGATCTAAATTAGATGTCCTTGTGTTATTCTACTACCTTGTGATTTATATTTAATTTTATATTACAGTTTTGGCACCATACACAGAAACCCTACAGAACTGATATCTTTCAGAAGTGCCACTTGACTAAGAAGGTGCCTGATTGGTTATTAATGGTGCCTAGACCGAAATATCCCCACCCCATAGCTGTCAGTCCAGGCTTTCTCCCACCTAGCTTTTTCTCTCCTGCCAACTGATAAATAAATGAGGAGTTGGGAGTGACACTTGACGTTAGCTGGCCACAGTCACACCAATGCTTCCAGGGAAGAAGAAAATTACTTTTAGGGAGATTGGAAGGGTCCCAGCTCTCCTGGGGAAGCAGTGAGTTGAGATGCATAGGAAAATATTAACTGTTACCAAATTAATAAAAAAAATTGTTGTTTTAATTAAAGTGCCATATTTAAAGTGATTATTTTTCAGGGAAGTGCTTTAACACAAATCACTGAAGAAATGCAGGGAGAGAGCGCATATAGGCACTGACACTTTTTTTATTGTTGCGACAAGGCCACGCATTACCGGAATGCAACCACTGCCGTCGCAAATTCATGGATGTGTCTCAGCTAAAGAAGCATCTACGAACACACACAGGTACAGCTCCCATCCTGTCCTTCCTTTCTGGTACACTTCACGTTCTCAGAAGAGCGAGAATGAGTCCCCTCCTCAGGTCCATTTGTTATAAATCGGGTGGGAATTTTAGAAGACCATTTAAAAGTCCAAGGCAGAAGGCTGTTGACGCCATTCTGTGGGGAGATCCCGTCTCTATTTCTTAGCAACACAGAGATGGCTTACTGAGCACTATTCCCGGGTGAAAATTCATTTGAGGGGCACCTGGCTGGCTCAGTCGGTTGAGTGACTGTTATTTTCAGCTCAGGTCTTGATCTCAGGGTTGTGAGTTCAAGCCCCGCGTTGGGCCCCATGCTGGCTGTGGAGCCTACTTAAAAAAAAAAAAGAGAGAGAAAAGAAGAAAATTCATTTAATACCACAAAATAGTACAAGTCTGAGTCTGGTTCTGTGTTTCACTCCTAGTGTACGTCACTGCTGAAGATTACTGAGATACTTTTTTTTAAAAAGAAAGTAAAATGAAACAAACACACAGGTAGCATAAGCACTGAGGGTTTCCCACTTCCTCCCCTAGAACCAGGACTTACAACTTAAGCATTGCTACCTCCAGAAAAATCAGCTTCAGGGATAAAAAGGAGGCAGGATCGATCAGGGCAGGTCAACTTCTTTAATTTAAAAACAGCAAAGTAAAAGTGTGGGTCTTTTAGACCTTTTCGTAAGGAGCACTTCTTTAAAAATGAACCTGTTAGATTTTTCTAAGAAAAGCTTCCGCCTGCAGTTTGGTTCTTTAATGATTCTGTTAAATTGTCTGCTAAAATTATATATCAGATTGGTTTATGCTGCTTTGGACATATTTTTTTTAAACACAAATTTTTCTCCTTAAACGTAATTTTTCTTAAGTGTCTCATAGGATAGTTCTCTGAAGAGGGATCTCTATACAATCTTTCTACAGACATTACCATGAATAGGTTCTGTGACATTTAATTCATCCGTTTAACACATATTTACAGAACAGCTCCTGGGTCCCAGACACCGCTCTCCCTAGGTGCTGAGGCTGCAGCAGTGAATGAGGTGGCCAGAGCCCCTGCTGTGGACCAGGGAAGACAAGGAAAAATGACTCCATAGCATGTTAGGTGGGAGTCAGTGCTCTGAAGAACTAAACGCAGGGTAAGGGGGCAGGATGTGGGAAGGGGAGCTGCCCTTTTCCGTGGGGACTTGTCTGAGAAGGCCTCACGGATGAGGGGACACCTTAGAGATCTGAATGCTCTGGGGAGCGAGAACAGCCATTGTGGCTGCTCAGGGGAAGAGCATTCCATGCAGAGGGAACAGCAGGTGCAAAGCCCTGAGACACAAGAGTTTCCACCTTGCCAGAGAAATGCCAGGAGGCAGTTGTGACCGAGCCTGAGCCAGGGTGGTGGGCATCAGAAGAGCAGAGGCAACTGGATGGAATCTGTGTAACATAGGCCTCTCAGCCGAGCTGCTGAGGCTCGGGCCTCAATCACCTGAGAAGCTTTAAAAAAGAAAATGCCTGGTCCCAACCCCAGAGATTCTGATTGAATTAACCTGGGGTAGAGCCTCGGAACTGCTCTGTGTAAAAATTTCCTCAGTGATTCTGGTGTGCACTCAGGCTTCAGAACGTTGGAGGCCACGGAGAAGACTGGATTTTTGTTCTGAGCAAGAAGACTTTAACGAGAGCAGCGAGATGATAGGACTTAGAATTTTAATAGGATCATCCCAGCGTCGTGTGGCGGGGGGAGCCACAGGTGGAGAGACCCATTAGGAGGCTGTTGCAGTAATCGGGGGCTCGTACGGTGTGGTGGCCGTGGAAGTGGTCACCAGTGGCCCTGTCCAGATAGATTCTGAAGGAGTCTGTGTTCTTGGAAAGAAAGTCCATGATTTCAAACATTCGCTAACAGAAAGACTTTCTGAGATTGTCAACCCAGATGGCATTGAATGGTAGGGCGAACATCATTAGTATGTTTCCGAAACGGAACTCGACACCACAAGCAGGTCCTCAGTCTTTGGATCTGGAGGGGCAGCAAACACACTGAGGTCAGCGCGGGCCCCAGCTCTGGTTTGGGAGGCTGTGGAAGGAGAGCACCAGTGGCCTGGTTTTCACCTCTGGAGTGGTAAGAGCTGCTGATGCGGAGACTCCAACTCAGCCAAGCTGCCACCAGCATCCTCCGCCTAGATGGAGCGTGGAAAGATGTCTAGGGTGAATTTTCCAGGAGAGGCTATGAAAGGGAGGCCGCACTTCAAACTGCACCCGTCCCCAGCTGTTACCTAGTTAAGCGGGATTTCGTTCTCTCTTTTCTTTAAATTCATAGCTCCCTTGCCTGCCTGAGGACCACTTAACTTTTGTTTCTGGAGGACATGACAGTCTATCGGTTGTATGTGCAGCGTACAGACTAATGCTGAATAAACGGTTCTTGAAGCTTCATGAATTCCTAGTGGAGTCTGGAACAGTCATGTTTTGTGTGGGCCTTAGTTTCCACCCTGTGAAATTCATTCAGTCATCAGGGATTTCTGGAACAGTGTGCCAGGCCTGATTCCAGACACAGGGGTACTAGGATTAGAGGAGCCCACAAAGTCTCCTAAGAATGGGGGAGATGGACAGTAAACAACACGTATAGTCTGTGAGGTGGGGCTAGCACTGTGGGGAAACGGACGCAGAGAAGGGGACTAAAGAGTGTTGGGGGGCGGGGGACAGTGCTTTTGGTGGTGATGAGGCCTCCTTGCTGGGAAAGTGACATTTGAGCAGAGGCTTGAAGGCAGTACAGAGGGTGAACCGCACTGGGAATCCCCTAGGCAAGACGTGCTGGGGGAGGGATGGTGGGTGCAGGAGCCCTGGCCAGGGCTTGCTCGGGGTAGGGTGTCCAGTGACTCTCCACAGGGCTCGTGAGCTGAGCAGTGAGCAAAGGGAGAGTGCCTGGTGAGGTTAGAAAAGTTTAGGGCAAGGACCCGGGGTGGGGGGGGCAGACAGATGTGTGATGCCTCTAGGCCTAGGGCTTTGGTTTTTATCACCGGATGGGAACAGGGAGCCTTTGGAACGTTTGCAGTGGAAGTGTGAAATGATCGGACTGCCTACAGCGTCACTGTGGTTGCTGCTTTTATTGTGGACAACAGGGAAGCTGGAACAGAAATGGGGAGACCCGTTCGGCTGCTGCAGGGACAGTGGCGGCCTGGATTGGGGGGTGGCAGTGAAGGTGGTAAGATGTGGTCGGGTTCTGGATACACTGCAAGGCAGACATAAATGTGAATAATATGCAGGTCACCCTAGTGCACCGGTGTCCCCAGGAAGGTCAGGTACAGGAGTTATCTCAGGGTGGACCGTATGGGAGTAAATGTGGTGTGTTGTTTTGTTTACTGTGTATAATCATCTACCTCCTTGTTTCAGTTTTTAAGGGAAGGAACCATATCTTACACTTTCTCTGTATCCTCTTGGCACTTAGCATACAGTGCTTAGGTACATAGTAGGTGTTTGGTAAGGGCTTCATTCATTCGTGCTCATTAAGGAGTCAAGTGGTATTGCCTTTTTTTTTTAATACTGTGAAAATGTGGGGTGATTTTTGCTTTTCACTTTGTGTTGGATATATATTTCTAAACAGTGTCCCCTTTTTAGGTGAGAAGCCATTTACTTGTGAAATCTGTGGCAAATCTTTCACAGCAAAGAGTTCTCTTCAGACCCACATCAGAATCCATAGGTAAAGTTTTACAGATGTTTTTCTTATTTGGGAGTCATTCAACCCTGGTGTTCAGTTGGGTGACATATGTTACTTATACAGGCCTTTTCCCCAAATTATTACACGGGTAATAATTTGTAGTGTAGTTTACTATATTTTATCTTTACAATAAAGCAATTCCTAACTTAGGCAAAATCAGGAAATCTGGTTCTGGCCAGCAAAAGTTTGCATGACTGATTTCATTTCTTGAATTTTTATTTTGGGCTGGGGACTGATCCAAAGTTTAAATCTTCAGTCAAAAATAAATATTAAATTCAATGTTTTCTGAATAAACGTTTTTGTTCACACATCCAGATTTGATTCAGTAGTTCTTCTAAGACAAATAACTAAGGGTTACTCAAGTTGGTTTTTTTTTTTTTGAGGGAGTGGGAGAGGGAGGGAGGGAGGGAGCTGGGGGTGGGGGGGCCAGAGGGAGAGAGAATCTTAAGCAGGCTCCACACTCAGCATGGAGCCCCACACAGGGCTTGATCTCACAACTCTGAGATAACACGACCTGAGCCGAAATCAAGAGTCAGAAGCTTAACTGACTGAGCCACCCAGGCGCCCCTACTCACGTTTTGAATATTGAAGTCAATCACATATACTTAAATTTGGCCACAAGAATCTAAAAGTTGGCAGTGAAAATGAAAACAAAACAAAAAGGAACTTTATGTGCGTAATATAAATATTTGCTCTCTTATCTAAAATAGACTGTAGAATCATAAAGTGTTATCACGTGTAGCCCAGGCCCACGTACCACCCTTTCTCAGACAGCACCCCCGCCTCGTCTTTTTTCCTTCAGGATCAGAAATGGAAACCCCCGAAAGTCGTGACTTGCTCTGACTCCTTAAGCTAGCAGAAGAGCCCATGGCTTACGACTCCCAGTCGAGCTAATTGTCCTCTACTCTTGACCTCTCCCTAACTAATCAGGAAGTAATAAGCAGAGCCGTTTGTAAAGTCAAATGTGTATTTTTTATAGAGGAGAGAAGCCCTACTCCTGTGGCATATGTGGCAAATCCTTCTCAGACTCCAGTGCCAAGAGGAGACACTGCATTCTGCACACGGGCAAAAAGCCCTTCTCCTGCCCCGAGTGCAACTTACAGTTCGCTCGCTTGGACAACCTGAAGGCCCACTTGAAAATCCACAGCAAAGAGAAGCCCGCGTCGGACGCCAGCGGCGTCTCCGGCAGCCCTGACACCCAGGAGGTCAGGAGTATTCTTCAGCTGCAGCCGTACCAGCTCTCTGCCTCTGGAGAGCAGGAAATTCAGCTTCTCGTCACCAATTCTGTACATAACATCAACTTCATGCCCGGCCCCAGCCAAGGAATCAGCATCGTCACTGCGGCGAGTTCTCAGAACATGGCAGCCGAGCAGGCTGCCGACCTCGCCCTGCTCACGCAGCAGCCCCAGCAACTGCAGAACTTCATCCTTTCCGCCCCTCAGGGGCAGACGGAGCACATTCAGGGCCTCGACATGATTGAAAGCCAGATGGAGCCCGCACAGACCGAGCCGGTGCACGTCATCACGCTCTCCAAGGAAACCCTGGAACACCTTCACGCCCAGCAGGAGCAAACCGGGGAGCTCCAGTTAGCAGGTGCTTCGGATCCGGCTCGACACCTGCAGCTGGCGCCCGCCCCGCCCGCCCCCCACGGGCCCCCGCCCGCCCCGCTAAGCCCCGGGCAGAGCTGACGTGGACGCGCCTGGCGTCCTTGATCTCCCCACGAGCCAGCTGCGCGCTGCGAGGCAGGCCTTCTGAGGCGCTCGGCTCGCCTACAGAGCCTTCTGGAGATGTGAGAGCGAGCGGACAGGCCTCGCGCTTTGCATCCAGGCCCCAAGATGTGCGCGTCCTGTCTTGAATGCAGTCCGGATCGGGATTTAGCATTCAGTATTGATGAACGGTTTTCATTTTCCTCTACGACATCTCCGAAAGTCTTGGGTAATTTTGCTTTGGGGGCATTGAATTAGACTGACTCTCAGTCTTGAATGTCCACGGCCACAGGTCTTGCTGACCTTTCCAAAGTAAGAACTTTGTAGAACAAAGGAAGCCCTATATTGGTTGAGTGGGGTAGAATGGTTTGTTCCACTTTGTTTTTCGTAGGCAACACAGTTGCTTCTACAAGATAAGTCACAGCTGGATGTGATAGAGGACAACCTTGGAGAATCTGCCCTTTTAATATCTTCTAAGCCCCGAAGACCGAGTCACTGTCAACACTTAATCTCTGTGTGGTGCAGTGGGCTCTTTGTATCCTATTTAAGGTAGATTCAAAAACATATAAACTAAAAGTCTATTTTAACTCGAATATAATAAAGTCCAAAAAGTACAGGATTATTTTAAAAATTCTGAAGTCAGCTTTTCTGAGAAACATGGATTTACATATTTTTTTGGATTTACATATTTTTTTAAAAGCAGGTTACTGAAAATTTAAAAGTCTAATTAAAGTGTGAAATCGGATCAAGACATTCAGCCCATAAATTCTCAATTTTTGTCAGCATTGATACTTGTTTGATGAAGTTAAGACTATCTCAGTTATCCTGGAATATAAAATTTTATTAAGTGTAATTTAAGTGTCAAAGATACTGAATTCTAATTGATCCTGAAAATGGTCTGTGTATTGTGTCTGATAACTTTCTGGAGATGGGACCTTATTATACTATAGATTATAGTAGGTTAAATCTCATAAAATAGACACCTCATTTTAAAAAGTAAATATCTTCACCTAATCTTAAAAATAACTTGAACCTCAGAGCCATTAGTAACCTGTCTATAATTGTGGTATGATTTTAAATAATTGTCAAAAGTTGAAATTATGTGTGGGTTAGGTTTTCAAGCCCGGTGTACTTTATTGAATACTTTGATTGCTTTCTCTTTAATGAACTGAAAAAAGAGCACGGGCGCTAGTAGTACATCTAAGTTAACATAATGCGGGTGGAGAATAGGGCTAATCTACCCTAAAATTAACAGGGTCTTGACATCAGTTACTTTCTTGCTTTAGACACCTTAATTTCTACCTGAATCAAGGTTTTTTGGAGGTTAAAGTAAAAGAATTCTTCAGGTTTGAGAGAAGATGAAAGCATTTTTTTCACATATTTGCCAAATTATGTTTTGTTATAATTCACAAAATTTCTAAAATGTGTATCTTAATATGTATCAACAAAAGTAATGTTTAAATCAGGCCTGACTAGAGCCAAGATACAATTTTTATAAATACCGTTATGACCCAAATATTATTTCAGGTTCTTAGTCATTTAAACTATTTACTTTAACCTTATTCTTAAAATGCAAAGTTTTTAGCAGCTTTGCAAAGCTTACTGGCCCACAGTTTCTCCAGAAGATACACAGTATTAACGTAAATGAATTTTTAACTACTCATTCTGGAGAGCTGGAGAATTATTCAGGAAATATGGTCACATAAGTCAAGTTTAACTAGCTTTATGACAGTTTACCTAACTGCACTAGGAGAAATAGAATGTGGGCCACATGTAATTTTAAATTTTCTAGTAGCCACATTAAAAACAAAAAGGTGAAATTAATTTGAATAAAATTTAATCCAACGTGCCAAATACCATTTCAACGTGTAAACAATATAAAAACATATTAAGATTTTATAGTCTTCATATTAAGTCTTCAGAATCTGGTGTGTATTTTCCACTTAGTGCACATTCAGTTTGGATGCTAATGTTCTTCGGACATACTTGATCTGTATTCAGAGTTCATACAATTTACAGTTGCAGACATAATTTTTTTTCAATAACTGAAACAATTATTGGTTTAACTTTACATTAAAATTAAAACCTGGGGCACCTGGCCAGCTCAGTCGGAAGAGCATGTGACTGTTGATCTCCGGGTCATGAGTTCAAGCTCCACGTTGGGCATAGAGATTACTAAAAATATATATACTGAAAAACCCACCACCAGTTCCTCAGTCACACCAACCACATTGCGAGTTCTTGATAAGCCACATGTGTGGCTAGTGGCTTCTGTTGTGAACAGGCTCACCTGTTTCTAACTTGAGAGCCTGTCTCAGCCATAAAAGTATCTTCTGGAAGAGTTCTGGTTTGTCTGATCCGCTGTGAAAGGGAAAGGAAATGAGAGCTTTATAAATCTAGCCTCTCTTCTGTGTCCCAAATACACATTCTGCCCTCTGAAATCCCAAATTCTAAAGTTCAGTGCCTCTGTATCCAAAGGAAATGTCATGTACATAAAAATGTTTCTATTGTGTGAGAAATTGCCGGCTCAGTGTTTCACAACGTATTTTGTACTAGTACAGTTTTTTAAATTGTTTTGACAAATGCAAAAATACAAAGCGTACTTCATAGGAAATAGAATATTATGCTTACTGAAGTTACTGAAATGCACCTTATCACTTTCAAAAATGAATCTTTGGTTTTCTCTCAGAAGGGCTAGCCTTGAGAAAACTCGAGCTCCTGCCATCAAAATAAGTTATTTATTCATATGCTTGTATCTGCTGCTTTTTTTTTTTCCTCTAAGTACTTAGGCACCATACCCAATGTGGGACTTAAACTCATGACCCTGAGGTTGAGAATCACATGCTCTGCCAACTAAGCCAGTGAGGCACCCCTGCATCTTGAAACTCTTTCTACCTCTACTCTATGTTCTGCAGTTGGTTCCTGGGTTCTAAGTGTTGTGAGCGACCGGTTAAATAATGCTAAAGAATATAATGATATTCTCATGCTTACATTTGGTTTTCATAAAATTGGATAATAATGTCTGCCACTTACTGAGTCTTTACTATAGGCCAGGAGTGAAGCCAAGTGTGTTAGGTCTGTATCTTAGTGCTTCTCAACTTCCTTCTTTGTTGTGGCACACGAAGTAGGACTTACACAGCAACCTTCGATTAGGGGACTCCAGTCACCTCCGGCCATGACTGGCATATTGGCTTGCGTGGGCTGCTGTAACAGATACTACGGACTGGGTGATTTAAGCAACAGAAATATAGTTTCTTGGTTCTGGAGGCGAAAAGTCCAAAATCAAGTTGTTGGCAGGGTTGGTTTCTTCTGAGGCCTCCTGATCTCTTTCCTTCCTGTGTCTTCACATGGTCTTCCCTCTGGTTTTGTCCTAATCTTATAAGGACACCAGTCAATACTGGATTAGGGTCCACCCTAATCCTAATGACCACATTTTCACTTAGTTACCTCTTTAAAGGCCCTATCTTCAAACACAGTCACATCCTGAGGTACTGGGGGTTAGGACGTCAACATGAATTTGGTGGGGGACACAATTGAGCCCATAATAACCGGCATCTGGAACGAGGAGGAAAGCAGTGTCTGGGAGGCACCTACAACCTGTCTGAGGCACGGTCTTATTTTACTTAATCTTCGTGACGTTTCTATGGGGTAGGTAATGTGCCTCTTTTGCAGATGAGAACACTGAGGCCCAAACAGATGAAGTCTCTTGCCCAAGGTCACACAGTAATTGGCAAAGCCAGACTGATGCATAGGGCTGGCTGATCCCACTATGCTGCTTCCACTAGATGGGCTTTCCATCACCAGTCTTTTGATACTTTAAGCTGGATTTCTATTTACGTATGATCTGCTTGATGTAATCGAAAATTTTTGACTAAAATTGAGGGTCTGAGACACCTGGCTGGTTCAGTCAGTAGAGCATACAACTCCTGATCTTGGGGTTCATGGATTCAAGCCCCATGTTGGGCATAGAGCTTACTTAAAAATTGATGTGTGTCTGACATTTAGCACACAAACTTTTTACATAAAACAAAAGGCACATAGTCCTACAGAAATAACTACCATATTAATACTCATATTGGAATTTTACTACTATTGATTTAAAGCTTAACAGAAATTTACCTATTGGACAAAAGTTACTGCTAACATGAAAATGTCTTAAC